TGTTTCCCATTGCTACACAAAAGGATTTCACACCCTCTTCCTTCCCTTTGTCACAGAAAATATTACAAAGGAGACGCTGACACGCTTTTAACATTCATTTTTTTTCCCATTGCGCAACAGGCCACAGAAAATAAAGCACATCAACATTTTGTATTTCAGAAAAAAAAAGGTGCACTTTAAAAAATATTTGCCGTAAATACAACCTGTGCAGGACTATCAGGTGGCACGGCTGGGGAAGGACTCTTGATCACAAAGCCAGGACACGGCATCGTGAAATTTTGGATTAGCGATTTCTGTCTTCGTACTAAACGAATGGAGACTGAGAACAGAAAAACTTGTTGAGCTGTAATGTTAAGAACCAGACAGAGCTCTAGCAGATACAGCTACCAAACAACACGACCAGGAAGGTATCAGACCAACACTCAAGGCCTTGCACAGGAGAGCTCCAGCGCTCTCATGCCGTGCGGACGTGTGTCCCTCCCCGAGGGCAGGTGGCGATGGCAGCCGCACAGATGATGGGTTCACACCTGCAACACGAGCTGCCTGCAGCAACAGCACACCTTGTTTTTAATTCCACTGAACATCTGATGCTATAAATGCAAAGGTCCTGCTATCGTCATGTTTACAGCACGTGTCCTGCTAACCCTCCTCACCGACTTTTCCATTTCGTTTTCTCCTTTACGGGCGCAGTCGCTGAAGTGAGGTCCCATGCACTTTGCAAAAAGGACAAGCTCACCAAAGCGTTCAAACGCTGATGTGTACTGGGCCTTTGGTGAGAAAGTCCTGTCTGGGGGAAATTTCCAAACAGTGTAATGACTTTGGAAATCTGATTTCACATGCTGCCAAATGGACAGCCCTGACAAGAACACCGTGAAGAGAAACGAAACCTCAAAATAATATTTGAAGAGGTCACTTGATAGGCTCTCTTCAGATGGGAATTTCTCAGAATCCATCTGGCAGTACTTCACATCTGTGGGCTCAACAGATTTTTTTTTTAGTCAAAACAGTTCAAAACACTTATAGGAAATCTGCATAGATTAACAGCATGCTGCACCAACGCTCACCTCTCTGTCCCAGCAGAGAGTTCAGACAAGACAGGAATACAAAGGATGGGAGTACACATTTTGTCTAATGGCAAAAGCCACTTTCATTAGGTTTAAAGCTAAACCTTGCTGGGTTAGTAGTTCAACCGTTGTTAAAAGGCATGGAAAGAACCATTTTTCTGGTATATACTGGACAGTTTGTACCTTTTTCTTCTCTATGGTATCATGCTTTCCTTTACAAAACCATGGGGTCTTGCAGTGAGTTGTCCTCACTTCTTTGAGCTCAAGGGAACTAAATCTCTAGGTTGAATATAGCAAAACTAGGTGAGGAGGGGAGGGAGGATGAAATCAGCTGTAATTTACACTTCTCAGCTCAAGGTAGTCAGATTTGGCCAGTGTAGCTTTGAGCTGCAATCTCAGATTAAGGCCATAGACTCGGGTCTGCTCCCGTGTTAAACTGCAGGAACGGAGCTGTAGAAGCCAGCAAACCGCTTGGATAAATCCCCCCAAATAGTCAGCTCTTCAGGACTCGAGTGGCCCAACAAACATTGCGGAAAGAGTTTATAAGAAGTTCATTTTTCCTCCAGCTTATTCCCATTTTCATGTCAAACCAAAAATAAACCTCCCAGTTTCTCTGAGCCGTGATCAAATATTCTGTAATATCTGTAATAAATCAAATACTCTGTAAGCTGCCAGTGTATCTCAGTAATGAAAATCTAAGCCAAGCATCTTATGTGAAACAACAATTTTTGTACAGTGTTTTCTAAGATAATCGAGCGCATTTCAGCAGGTTGGTGTTGAACAAGTATATTAATAATGTTTAAGAATTCAAAAGCAACTGAGACACGCAGGATGTTAAATCCTAATGAAAGTCAAAGCAACACACAGTTACAGCTTCCGTGGGAGGTTTCAGAAACCACCTCCCAGCTGTTGACTCTATTTAGAAGTGAAGTTAAAAAATCTAGGTCCTTTCCAGAAACATTTGAAGTGTCTTGCCTGGAAGGCCGATGTTAAATGTGTGACATTAAAACTCCTCTTCCTCTGCTCATCGTACCTGGACTTTCCCACAAGGCAGTATGTACAGGTCTTCTGAAGCTTCTTCTTCCAACTTGCCCAAGCCATTTCTAACACACACACAGATAACATTTGGTGGTTCCTCACAGATTTCCTTCCAAAGAGACCAGTCTCCTTTTTGCCCCTTTTTTTCTGTGTATGTGCCATTGCCTGTTTTTCTTGCCAAAGAGGAGTCAACTGTGCATGATCAACGAAAGTGCTTTGTCAAATACAATCTCTGCCCTTTGTTTGGTACAACCAGGGCAAGAAATTAAAAGAAGGCATGACAGGACAGAGCTTGCAGTTTGGCTGAATCAGAAGAAACTAAAGCCCCACTGATTTCCATTTTGAGCCCTTTCTTTTGGAGTGGTTCTGTACTAGGCATTAAAATAATCTCCCATCCCTGGTAGGTGTGGTTGGAGGTCATGGCTGATGGTAACCAGGTCTACCACGGTAGCTAGCTCTGTACAACTGCCAGGTTATAAATGCCTTGGAAGTAGATAGCCATCATTCACAACTCACAGCAAATGCCCCACCGGTGTTTTCTCTAAGCCCTGAGCCCAATAGGGCCTAACCCACGAGATTACCACCTCTGTAGCAGGAGAAGTTGCCAGTACCCAGTGGATCAGTAACTGGTCTCCATCATCGTGTGACTGTTCACTGGGGCCAGATCCACATCTCCAGCATTGAGACTTCTGTTACATACCAAGGGTGCTCGTTAGTTGAAGAGTGACAGGGTATGGGCAAAGCCCAGAAAGCTGAATTCAGCCCAGTGACTCTTCTAGTTTGTCATCATAAAGAGGCAAGCCCTGCTCTCCTAATGAAGTGTGGTGTGAAAGGGGACGCAAGGTCACCGCTAGCAAAATCACAGCAGAGGTTGCACAGGATGATTAGTTGGTTCCAGGTTCACGCAGGTCACCGTCTGGTGATGTGACAGCGGGGAAAGCCCTTTAGCTTGTCCCAGAGGCCTGTGACTTCTGGTGCTAAAGGCTCTGGAGCAATTTGCTGCATCACATAGCGGGCTGTTAGAGGTGGAACCATATGAGAGAAAAGCTCACGCTACCTATCCTGGCCAGCTGAGACATTTCAAAGAGCATTTTCAGGTCTTGTTTCTGTTCCTCTGGCTTGTTGAAAGAAAGTCATTTTAGCTAAGGCTCCCCAGTTTAGACCTTCTTGTGTTCTTCATTTGCACTATCTGAAGATTTGTGTGTGCAGATCAGTGTGCCAACAGGTCTGGTAGCAAAAAGAAATAAAAGAAAAGGTAGAACAAGAGGCCCTGCTGCCTACAACTGATATAACCTATGAGACGTCAGCCTTGTGAAAATGGTGAGGAAACAAGTAAAACTGGAATAAGAATGGGAAAAACCTGAAGGTCCCACAGAATTGGGTCGCATTGCTCTTATCTCAGCAGCCTCGAGCCCTCATGAGCCTGGAGTTGTCTCACCTCTTACTGCAGGCCAGCTAACTGTTCTCCCTGCTAAAAAATAGGATTTGGCTGTATGGCAACAGTAAGATTTTCCATTTCTGTTCATTTTCAGCACTCCAGCTGGGCACAGTTTCTGCATTCTTGACTTTGCCAGAGACTTTGTTATGTATTGGTGTTGCAGTACCAATACCAGTGAGAGAGGGGGTTCACTGTGCCAGGCACTATATATGCCCTAAAATAAAAGATGACCCCCATTTCCCCAGACCACACGCACCCCAATCTAGGTAAGGCATCATCTGTTGTTATTTCATTTCAAGGAGCCAGAGCGGCTCTCTCAAGCACCTAGGTCATATTAATCACAATTTAGATATATTTTTAAAATAACCACCTGCCTCCCTGAGTTTTCACTCCTTGTTCATTGAACATCCCATAGGTGAGCATGTCCATTCTCCAAAAACATCCCTTTCTGTTCAAAACTGCGTTATCCTCATCAGACTCTCTGCTCGGTGCCACCAAGAGACATGATCTCAAACCCTTAGATGTGAACATGGCATCTCTGCACTGAGGAAAGGGTGAAATGCAGTATGGTTTTGCCTAAGTTTAACACATTTTGGCTTCCCAGTTAACACCGCACCTGGATTTATGCCAGACTGAAGTTACAAAACGTGTAGACATTACTCACAAGAGGCAAGGCCAATGCTTTAAAATAACCTCAAAGTTACTGGCAGCACAAAGCCTATTTTTCCAACAAAAATGACTTTGCTAAACACACTTGTGTTACGTGAATTTGGAGACCATGCATGAAAGCCACAGAGGCCCCTCACAAGTTTTGACTCCATGATGAAATGCATTTCCCTTCCTCCTTTGGCTTCAGTATGTAGTTTCCCTTGTGACCTGGCTGGAAAACGTGTGGTTGCTGGAGATGCTGTTGGATTTCCTGGTGAAGGCCAGTCGTTTCTTCTTCTTCCTCCATGGCAGGCACAGGAGTGTGAGTGTAGAGAGGAAGATCTGTCGGAAGTTTGCAGACACCAGGTTGTAGAGGATGGGGTTGATTGCCGAACTGACGTAGAAGAGGACGTTTGTCAGCATGTAGAAGTAGTGGTAGAAGTTGAAAAGGAAACTGCACGGACAGATGAAAGATAAAAATCTAAATAGAGTGTGGAGAACTGAAATAATTCAAAGTCACAAGGGTGAGAAAAACATGAGCTAACCTTTCTTCGTTGGGGACATGAGCTTACCAATGGTGCATGCGCCACCAGGAAAACATCTATGTTTTCAACTGGGACTGGCCAAACGTAGGTCAAATGCCTCTACAAAGGTCTTACCCCAAACACTAGCAGTTAGAAACTTATTTATGCCCTGGGTCCGGACGTGATATTTACCTTGTGCGTTCATTTTGTCTTCGAAAATAGCATTCTGGAAACTGAGAAGTCAGATGGAAATTTATATGTATGTGTCATGCATATACATTAGCTTGACTTTTCTGGCTGCAGTTCTGGTCTACAGAGCCTGCAGAAGAGCCAAGATGCAGTAACAGATGGAGGTCTCTCCTTCCCCCAGCAGTGAGAGCTGCATCAGCTCATTCAGTGGGTCCCTGGGTTGGGATTTGTCTGTAATCTGGGATAGCGTTCTCTATTCTGGGGGAAAGTTGATGACAGCATGCTTTTGAAACATATCCTGACCATCACAATATAATGTTTTCAACTAGAATTGGTTGAAAATGCTTAGGTTTTTTTTTTTCTTTTGGAAATATCTTTCCTTGGGACAACTGAGATCAACAGCTCTGAGCTGGTGAAGCATTTATAAACAACGCGGGTCTGTTTTTCAGGAAGATGTTCCCCAGGATCATTTATCTCAGTGGAAATTGCAGACCTTTTTGTTAGTCTGAGCACTGTCTAACAGAAGATAAATAGACGCGTGCTGGAGTACATCACGAATCCCTCCACACCCCCTCAGCACTGCCAAGTACTGCACGGCCCGTCCAGCTCTTACAAGCAGAGTTTCTCTATGTAGTTGTGAAGGATTAATATAGCAAAAATTTCTCTTCTTCAGGGGCAGGCACACGCATTTATAAATGAACATGTCAAGCCGCTGCAAGCTCTTGATTAGCTGCCATACTGACAGTTCACCATTCATAATGTGCCTGTAAATTCAACGTTTCCCTAAAATCGCTCATGGCTTTTAAAAGAAGAGAAAAAAATATGTGAATGCAACCACAATGCATAAATTCACACTAACTGCAGACAGACTTCTCTACCCCTCTTGCATAAAGCAAATGCAGCCGTTACATAATTGATTGCTGCTTTAAGTGCTTTTCATATAGGAAAGCAGACAAGAAACAGTAGTTTGTCCCAGTGTGTGCCTAAAGCTCTGTTTTCATGACTGAAGATAGGTTTGGGTTTTTACTATGGATGGATGTACAATTCCATTCAGTAGAGTGTTATATCGTAAATGACTATTTTTTTGTGCTTGGAGTTTATGAAATTTTAATGTCTCATAGTTGCTCTGCTTTTTGGTATTGTAGATTTTTTTTTCTTTTCCTGTTCATTGCAGGAAACAGACCCAGAGAGAAGAGGGACGTAACGCCATGGGAGAAAAGGCACATTTTTCACTGAGCACATCTCATGGCATCTCGGGCTCCCTGGGTGTATATCCACAGACAGCACACACGCTTACTTGCGTATTTAAAATGAATAATCAGTTCTGTGGCTGCTTTGCTGAGGAACCTGGCCTGATGCGGAGAAAGGCTGCACGGAGCTGCTTGTGTGCCCTTGCCCATCTGTGAACAGCACACGTGCATTCAGCATAGGTGTGCGATTATCCCTAAATTCTCTGAGAATTTGGACATTTTCTAATCAGTGGCAACTACTAGTATTGAATTTTGATCCGCTCCTTGCAAAACCCAGTAAATAACCTGCCCCAGACTCAGTAAGCAGCGCGGTTATTTCCCCACCCGTGTAATCTCCCCTATCACTACGGAAATGTGGCGTCGTGGAGCTAAATTGTGTGTTGACAGGAGCTGCTCCATCTTAGGGCCGGTGATTGATATCTCCGCCACGGAGACAGCAATCCACTTCGGATGTATAACCCCCCCCGTCCAAATGTCATTGCATCGAGGACTGTCAGAGGCGAATATCCATTGCCGTTGTTAACGGGGGCAAGTCTGTGGTCGCAGCCACAGAAGAAGGAGAGGCTGATGATGCATTTTGGTTCAAGCTAATGCTTCCTTCACCCACTCCTGGGGGATTTTGATGATACAACTAGGACTTTTAATTTGGCTGGCAATCATGGTAGGAAATCCAAAAGAAAAAAACCAAACCAACAATTAGGAGGTTGAAGCTTTAACCCCTTGCATGGAGAACGCCTGTGCTCCCAGATCCCTGCCTCCATCCCCAAGTCTGCTGGTGCCCCGGCAGCCCCAGCTCCAGCCTGACCCCGCACCCTGTCCTGGCGCGGGGGGAGCTCGTCCCCCGAGCCGTGACTCACTCTGTCCAGTGACTGGAGGGGACGTAGCAAAACATGAGACGCCGTATGTGATAAGGGAGCCAACAGACCACGAAGGCAATCACCACAGCACCTGCAAGGTATGAAAAGAGCCCGTTATTTTTCATGAACAATTCTTCACCAAGGGTGAAAAAGGGACCTGTCTGTGTGGTGTTCATCGCTGTAAACTGTTTTCCTAAAGCCCCACTTTGTTCTTCTGTTGCCATTGTGCAAAGAATTAATAACCCTGAGGGGCAACCAGCCTGCAAATGTCTGTAAAAACAAGCATAACAGAAATAATAGAAAATAGCAAGAAGCACGGGGGCAGTGACATTAGGAACAAAAGAAGGTACAATACAGATAAAGGACTGCTGATGCCTCGTTCAGACACTGGCTTAAACGAAACTGTATTTGCATCTGTCCTTGTGTTTCATTCACCTTGTGGCACTGGGTATTTTGTCCAAAGTACTCGCAGGGACAGTTAGTGTATGTTTTTCATCCAGGTAGACAGGGAGCCAGGGACACTATAATCCCATTAGTTTGTTACGCGGAGCCACCGGCCGCAGTCCCCACGGTGCTGGGGATCATTAAACAGCCTCAGGAGCTGCTTTCTGGTGGCAGGGCTCGTCCTTCTGTTCTACATTCGTGCAATACCTGAGACAGTGATTACAAGACGTTTGGGTCTGGACATTGCCGTAATAAAAATGATTAATTAAAAGGTAAGCAGAGAAAGACGGTATGTTTTTTCCCTTTCCAGATTTCTGCCGAGGGACATCAAACGATGGAAAATAAAATGCAACAACTCTGAAGGTTAAAAGTGCTGTTGGTGGAGTGCGTTTGTCAATCTAGATTAAAAAGTAGATATATCAGGCAATCAAGGGAAAGATTTGTTTCCTTTTGTAATATGCATTTCAACCTCTGTATGAAATGACAGGATTCTGGCAGAATCCTAGCAGGAAATAAAGAAACCTCAGTTAAAACATAACACAATAAAAGACAAGAAGAAAATCAAGGCTAAATAAAATAATTATGTTAATTTTTTATCCCAAATTTGCTCTACAGAGAATAAGGGCCACATCACTCTTGTCCTTTATGTGACCTGTAAAGGGCTAGGAAGCAGCAAAGCTTTCTTACAGAGCTACGCACCACCAGTGCAATGCGGATTTGGCACGTGGAGGCAAAGGCGGTTTTTCCTTCTGCCTTGGGATTGAAAATATTTAAGTGGATATGTTCCAAACCCAGATGCTGTAATCCCACAGGGACTATGCCATAGCTCATAGAGGAGATATGCAGAAGACGTGTCTCCCTTGAAAAATGCGGTCCAGGAGGAGCAAGTCTGGCTGTGGTTCTCCCCATCACCGTTATTCAGCCAAGGGGCACAGGGGAGGCTTCAGTAACACAGTGGGGAGGGAAGTGTCTGTGCCCTATTTTTGTGGGTGTCATCACTAGCAGAGTCACCGCCTAATTTGCACAGAAATTAAATAATTCCTGGTGTCCAGCTCCATACTCACAGCCTTACTTCAACTCCATGTGCTATCTCTTTTATTAAACACATAACTAACGATGGAGACGGTTATATTCTTTTAGCATCAGCCTGCATGATGTATGAAAGCATCTTCCAGGAATGCTGCAAAAGCCATTTATTCAATAAAGTTTTAGGCAGCTGAAGGGACATGTTTTGGAAAGAAGGCTAGAGGGTCTGTTTTTATTCTCTTGTCCAAGTGAATTCATTATTTCAATCTGAATATTTTTGGCTGCTATATGGTCATTGTGATTGCAGATGTAATTCATCGCTAGACGGCCTGCAGCTCTTCAGATGCCATCAAGTGAATGAATTCAGACCTGCGTCTGATCCTGCCCTGAGGAGCTTTGCTGGGATTTTGTGGGGGACAGCCCAGAAATGACATGTGGCACAGGAGAAGTGGGGAGATCCACCAGGAAGCTCGGAGGGAGCGCGGGGTGCCCGCCTTGCTCTGTCACATTTCTGGGCACCTGCTTTTGGCCACCTCCAGAAGTTAATTCCTCTGTCGGATGGACCTTTGGTTTGCCCTGCATGGAGCAGTCCACCCATGACTCCCCAGGAGATCCCTCCCAGGGGCCGCAGGAGAAGCGATACTCTCCAGCCTCTCCCCCTCCATCCATCAGCCTCGGGCCGACGGGAACGAGCCAACATCACAGCTCCAGTCCACCCGCTTTCCCAGTGCCTGTACAGGATTAGCTGGATTTTCAGGCTGTGAAAGCAGCTTCCCAAATGGCTCCCAACACAAGTTCATTTGTACACATCATAATTTTTGCAGAAACCTCCATGCACTGGCACTTCCCCACTGTTTACCCCTGCATGCAGCTCTTTAAGAACGGCAGGATCTGGATTCTTTCTACAGCCAATTTTAAGAGTCTTACAGACCTGCCTGTTAAATTTAACAGCACGTGAAATGAAAGTGGTTTTCTCCTGGTAAAGGATCTCTGCTTCCGTTGCTCAGACAATGCTGTGCCAAATAATATGGAGGCAGGGATCTATAGCAGCAAAAACACATATTGAGAGAAATAGCTGCTTAATCTCAGCAAGTGAATAGGCAATTAAGTAATCTGTGGTAATTCTGTAATATCACAGAATATAAATCACTCTGCAATTAAAACTCTATTAAACACATAGCTAAGTGCATTTGAGACACTTATGGTCTGATTTTGAAATCCCAGCTGGGTAGCACACTGTGCGGTTCTGTGCCGCCAGCCTCTGCCGCGCAGATTGGGAGACCCTGACCTGTATTTGTCACCCTTAATCCGTATGTTTCAATTTTATCATACAAGGGATCAAGCAGATTTAGGGTGGCAACCCTGCGCTGCTGGGCCCCGTCCCCAGGGATGAATTTGAAACGCGGGAACGTGTTAACTTTCATCTAACACAGCATGCAAGTGCCCTTTTCTGCCAGATACCTGGTGCCTTTTGCTGCTGTCTTGTGCCTCCCCAGGCACATGCTTATCAAAACAGATGAGTTGTAAAACAAATAATGGGCAAAGTGGCTGCCAAAATGATTTTTTATTATTGTTACTGGCTCCTAGGACCTTGGTCTCCATCATCTTGAAGCTTCACATGGGGGTTTCTTTGGTGGAGTAAGTTGGAGAAGGTCAGCCTGGTGGAGCTGAGCACTGCCTGGGGAAGGATTCGACCCAATGTGTGGTGGGGGTGACTGTCCAGAATGGTGTTTGTGAGGCTGGAGATTTACTGCCTCTATTTTTTGAACTAAAAATAAACCAGGCCCATCCCTCACTTCTAATTAATTCGACGTGGTTTTAATAGGAGCAGGGCTGCTCCATGAACTTCTGCTATTTCCCACATTTGAGCAAACGAGGTGCCAAACTGCGAGCCCAGGGCTGGGGAGCAGAGAGGAGACCCGAGCAAGGTGACCCTGGCATGCTGGGGATGTTGGGGAATGATCCTTCCACCGAGCTGCATCTTCATTTCCCTTCTAAATCAAACTCCCAATATAAAAGTGTATTAAAACCTGAATTATTGCATCCTGTGGCTTTCTATTTTGTCTTATAATGGCTCTATTCTCTGTCTGTTTGAACTGCATCCCAAGGAAGACGGGGCGAAAGGAAGGAGAAGCAGCAGGGAGACGAGCCCTTGTTTGTTTATCGCGCAGGAAGTCCTGCAGAGGGAAACATAAATTTTGAGTGACATCTTTTTCATTCTGCAAAAGAAGATTTAAACTGTGCCAGTCTTGGTTATCAGCCTAAACTAGATGTGGAAGCAATCCTGCAAGTTAAATTATATTAGATTCCACTGAGTATTTTATTTTACCTTGTGTGTATCCTGTGGCTGAGGCTGGGAGACAGCCCTTCTCCAGCGCCAACGTCTTGAAAAACTCACGTTGGGTTAGCGTGAGCATGGAGCAATGCATCACGTGTAAAATGTCCCTGGTGGGTGCTTGGTGGCCAGCTTGGCCAGCTCAGCTGAGTGTGGGAGTCACGGGAGGGATTTTTAGCCCCCCCGTCCCTCTTCTGGGGCCATCTGAGGCTCGGCGTGACTCAGAGCACCGGGACGGCGATGGGTAATGTGCTGCCGCTGCTGGCTCACGCGGGACCCCAGGGATCTGCGCCAGTGCAAAGCACTTGGATGGTGTTTTCCTCCTCACTTTAGCTCTTCCATCCCCTTCGGGGTCGTGCCGAGTCACAGCCCTGCGGCTCCGGGGTGGCCCTCGGCGAGGGTATCCCTCCATCCTGTCCTTTCTCTCCAGGAGAGGGAGAACAGAGATGCTGCTCCCTCTTTTAACCACCTCCACTGTGGCTAAGGCCTCCAGAGAAGCTCAGATCCATCCTTCCTTGATAGTTTTGTTCAGATTATTTTGGCCAATTTACTTCTTTTTCTCTGCATTTCAAGGGGAGCTGAAACACATACAGCTGGGGAGCAGCGTGTTGCAATTTTTGAGCAAAGGCAGGAGCTGTTTGGGTATGTACGGACCCATCTCAACATCGCTCAGCCTTTTCTGCAATTCAGCTCATCAGCAGCCGTGTGTCTCCAACGCTGCCCAAGGAATGCACGCTCCAGCTGGTACAGAATAACGTATATGGCACTGTTATGGGGCTCACGTCAGGGATTTGCATTAATGCTGATTTCTGGAGAAACAGTCCTTGTGTGTTCAAAGCTCCTGGGTTTAGTCGATGCCATTACAAGAGAATCTCTCACAAAGGGGAGCAAGTGTCACTGTGCCATTTGGTATGAGAGATAGTAAGAGCTGGGCCAAGTGTAGATGTAGCTGGCACTACCCAGTTAAACCTCGAGGCGCTGTTTATATGAACGTGATGCACGACCTGAGAGGTCGTAGGCAATATTTATACCAGTGGGCCCCAAACCAGGGATGACGGCAGCTGCAAGGGTGGGTATGAGCCTAGTAAAATTAAAACTGCTTATGCTGGTATTTGGGTCACAAGGCTGCAGAAGAAAGGATTTCCATAAAAGCCGATAACAACCAGGGGAGATTGGGGACCACCAGTATGCACCAGTAGTACTCAGGAGAGCAAAGAAGGAGAAACTGGGAATAGCAATGGGCCTGGGGAGCCCTCAGCTCCTTTAGACACCACTGAAAACATGCA